AGCCAACAAGAGGTTGGACTGATTAAAAGAAACCTTTTGAGTTACGTGGCTTTTGGCTTTCATTCCTGGACGGAGAAAGTGGGGTCAGAACAGGTTTCCAAATCTAAAGACTTAGGGTACATATAGAATTAATATAATAGGATATAAAAGCAAAAATCAATTAATGTGGTGTGGAAGTAGCTAGATGCCTTTCTGAAAAGTTAAGCTTTTATGACTCTGATGATGATGGAGAGGCGTCATGAAGTTGGTGTTGATCTTAGTGATCGCATAAATAAGTTTTCTCTAGGATAATCTTTCTCCAGCTTGATCCTTCAGGTCTTCTTGAATGAAGGGTTATCGATGCACCTATTACTGTTGTAATTAAGTCTGTTCAGCTTCCTGCTGGTCATTCTCTGCTTCCTCCCACCTTTGCCAACATTGTAGACTTTTTCAAGAGAGCTAGGTCTTTGCATAAGGTGTCCAAAATATGATCATTTGTGCGATCAGTGAAAACTCTGAATTGATGTGTTACTTGATCCATGTGTTTGTTTTCTTAATGAAGGCAGGGGTGTCAAACTTGATTTCACTGAGGGCCGCATCAGGGTTGTGTTTGACCTTGAGGGGAGTGGGGAGACGGGTTGACTGTGGCCAGCTCGAAGTTACTCGTGTTGTTTGCCTGTAGTGGCCCAAGTACTCTGCCAGCAAAAACAGGCTCCCGGGCTCCATTTGTGGCTGCGACGGCCTCCTGCTCCCTCGCAAGCTCCATTTTCACTGGCAGAGGCACCACAGGGCGGTCCTTTGCTGTTTCCAGGGCAGCCCCGCAGGCCGGATCTAAGCACCCTGTGGGCCTTGCGTTTGACACCCCTGATCTAAGCTATCTATCTTGCTGCTTAAAAGTCCAAGTGTTGTTTTCATAGCATGTCACAGGGACATCATTGCCTGTGTCATTTTGATCTTTCTTAGCATCTGAATAACTTCACGGCTATTCTACCAAGTGCTAGGCTGCATCTTATTTCTTGCATGCCTGATAGTAGTTGACAGCTAACCCTAAAAGCAACACCCAATTGTGAGCAGGGTGTAGTGGGGAAAAAACAGTAGGATATCAGTCTAACTAAAATAAATTCAGTTTTCTGAAGTTAAATGCCAGTGTTTTTTGACAAAAAGTGTTGAGAAAACATTTCAGTGTTTTTGGAGAAGGGGGGAATTTTGGGTTTGGATCTATTGCTATTGGCTCTAGAGGTAACAAATACAGTTCTCTTCTGCTTACAGCTGCCTCCCTTATTATTGGAACATAGAAAGTGATCTAGTTTCATGGCTCTCGCCTAACGATCCCAACTCTGTGATGACCAAAGCAGCTAAGAAGTTGAAGAACAACTTAGGTAAGAATGTTTTGTTTTATACAGTGTTTTGGGTGTAAGTATAGATCATAATAGGAAAACTATAAATTGGTCTTAAATGAATGGGGGAATTAACCTCTAGAAGCATAGAAGATTTGATCTGGCCTCTAGTGAGAATGAATGTATGCCTAAGGCTACAAAGTTGGGGTGGACAGCCTATATGGCCTCTGCACTGGCATTTTTAGTTTGGCTGTTCTTAAACAAAAATGTGCAGAAGTAGTAAGCCTATACAGGTAGTCCTCAGACACCACAATTGGAACCAACTCAGTTAAATAAAGTGGTCACTAAGTGAAACCATGAGTCTTGGTATGATCCCGCCTCTATTTTTAAAGGAAAAAGAAACTCTAGATCTCTGTTGGATTGAAACCGAGTGGTGCATTTTTCCATCATTTTGAGGTGGGAAAACATTCAACTGTAATATCAGAAGGGATAAAAAATAGCTATCTAAAATCTTGAAATATACCAGATTCTCCCACTGTATTTGTTGCCAGCAAAGTGAACCACAGTTCTCGTTCTCTCTTTCCCTCCCTCCTTCTCTCCCTCAAAACATGGGGACCTATAGAGGATAAGTGCAATCATGAAGAGAGGTGATAATGGAAATGTGGAGTTAAATACCAGCAATTTGATTAGGAGTCATTTAACAGACGATACTTCACTTTGTGAAAAAGGATAGCTTCATCTATTCTCTGCCACAGTTGCTTGTTGCATCACAGCAAGTAGTCAGTGGGCAATCTTATATGAAAGGAAATAGATGATTGTATTTGCAGTGTTCATCAGCAGTGAAAAGCTATTAAAACTGATTGAATGAACTTCTCTCCCTTTCTTTCACAAGGAGCATGCATGCAGTCTTTTTAATACTTAACTCGTTTTGGAGCTGCGAAGGTGGTGTTAGGCGGCCACTGATTCTGCTGCTTATGGGCAATTCAGTTTTCAAAAAGATTTATTTCCAAAGCAGAGGGAAATCCACTTACAGGTTGTCCTCATTTAGTGATTTCCTTATTTAGCAATAGCAATGAAAAAGTAACTTTATTACCAATATTAGGACTTACAACCTTCAGAGGTTTGTGAAGCAAAGGAAAGCTGAAGTAAGATCATACAGAAAGTTGTGGTTTCGTGTAGCAACCACTTAAGCTGTTGGTTCCAATTGTGGTCTCTAACCAAGGACTATCTGTGTATGCTGGTGTCCGTTGTCTACTTACATGCATTATTGTTTAAGAACAAGGTTTGAGGTTTATTGGTTTTGTATGCCGCCCACTCCCGAAGGACTCCAGGCGGCTCACAATAAACAGGGGAGGGAATAAATAAGACAATACAAACAAATTTTAAAACCGACAACAGTCACAATTAAAACGGGGCTGGGTTCTTTAACAGCCCCCAGCCTGCCGGAACAGCCAGGACTTAGTAGCTTTACGGAAGGCTGGGAGGGTAGTAAGGGTCAGGATCTCCACGGGGAGCTCGTTCCAGAGGGCTGGAGCAGCAACAGAGAAGGCTCTCCCAGCCGGCATTGGCTGGCAGATGGAACCCGGAGAAAGCCAAGCCTGTGCGATCGAATTGGTCTTTGGGAGGTAATTGGCAGGAGGCGGTCTCTCAGGTACCCAGGTTCAATGCCATGTAGGGCTTTACAAGTAACAACTAGCACCTTGAAGCGAGTCTGGAGACCAATGGGCAGCCAGTGCAGCTCACGGAGGATAGGTGTAACGTGGG